TCTATCTATCTATCTATCTATCTATCTATCTATCTATCTATCTATCTATCTATCTATCTATCTATCTATCTATCTATCTATTAATCTATCTACTTACCTATCTATCTATCTATCTATATATCTATCTATCTATCTATTTATCTATCTGTCTGTCTGTCTATCTATCTATCTATCTATCTATCTATCTATCTATCTATCTATCTATCTATCTATCTATCTATCTATCTATCTATTTATCTATCTATATATCTATCTATCTATCTATCTATTTATCTATCTATATCTCTCTCCATCTCTGTCGCTCTCTATCTACCTAACTCAATATTTGGCTCTTGCCCCCTCTCTCTACAGGGTCTGGGTCCCTACTCCTCTGACTGGGACTGGATCCGGCAAATGTCTATCATGCATGTCCGGTTGTATTTCTACGACCATTCGTTTTTCGAACCTGACAAAGCTTTTAATACGTGTTGGTTATTACTGAATCGTGCTGAATTACTTTAAACTAATACGTTACATGGCGTGAAGTATAAATGTGGTAATTTGATAGATTTCTTATCTGAATACGACTACATAATCTTTTAAAATGTCATTCTCCGGCAGAATTAGCTGCGTCGTAGTTAAATAGTAAAGGCATCGACAATGCTACGACGATGAATATAAACTATGTATGGTTTAGAAAACGCATACCCGTAATTTCTATACATAATGTGATGGCGACCGGAAGAGTACACTTATGTACCGTCTCCTCCTATTTCGCTAACACGCACCCGTGTTTCGCCCGTGCCCATGCACCCACGCACGACGCGTAGTCAGCGCGCACGATGCCTCCTTCACATACAAGTCAATTTATATCATATCGGTGACTATGTACTAATGTCTCTCGACAAAACTTTTCGGCTTCTCGATTTAAATAGAAATCGGTCGGTTGCATGTTGCGAGAATAACTATAGCGCACTGCGTAGCGCACTGCTTGTGTCGTAGGTTGCTGTGGTATAGCTGCTCGTATTATCGTAGTTTGTGTGATCTGTCCATGCTGCTAATTCACGTATATATATATTTCATAATTAAATTGGACGGACCGCTATTACATGAAAAGCCTTCACATCGCACAGTAACCTTTCATGATTGCGAAAAATAGACATGCTACCAACCCGCATCTGTCCATAACAGACGCAGAATGAGGGTAACGTAATATCCACGGTGTATCGCATAGGAACCATATTTAATTTCCGGCGAATGCCTATAACTGTTTAATTACCTTACGCGCAAGCAACAAGCTGAGTCTCTCCCCTTCTTGATCTTTAGTGCTTGCTCTCGGTAGCACGGAAAGTTAAACCAGAAAGCTTACGTCATTAGGACCACGCCGCTCTTTCATTATTTTTGTACATCCAAAACGCTCCGAGGCCACACCCTTGCGGTCCGGATCTCTCAATAAGTGATATCGGAAAGTCCAGCTGTGCTATTTAGGTCATAGAAAAGGGGTATAAAATGGCCGAGGCGCCCTTAGGAAAGTACATAATTAATGTAAACACTCGTGCGTTTTTAGTTTTGTGCATTAACACAAACATTGCAAAATATCCCAAATGACCACAATCATATTTGTAAATGTTTCTGTAAACAGAAACGCACCGGTGAATTGAAGTACGATGTTAGTGAAGAGAATTATTGATCAAAAACCTAGACTAGTCCTATCCTAACCATGTTATATATAGGCAAGTTATACCCTCTCTTGTCTGCTCTCAATATGGCGGCGGGGACTTTCCGATATGGCTTATGCTCTCGTGCACTTTTCGTCTGACATTGTTATATTCAACGTAGCAGCTCGACATATTATCACACGGGATATTATGATACGGGTTTTTAATGCGACCCATTAACCGTTTCTTGCGCTATCCTCGTTGTAAATGCGATGAGATCATCGCCATCATCATCATAGTAAGCACTGCAATTTGTTTTTGTAGTGTAAGTCGAGTGAATTCATTTTAACTATTGCAACTTTCTTCAAGATCGTCCCGTTGCCAACCCAACTAGTTGCATACGAGCAAACTTGCAAACTACTATTGCGCGCTCTCGAACCTAATTTACCCATTTCAGAGAAATACATTTTAAAAACTAAGCACGTGATCATGAATATACGACAAAGACAATATTGTGAGTTAAATGTCTTTAAAGGTGCTTTCCGCATAAGCCTGGCGTGGTAACTAATCCAATAATCCAATATACGAGTGTGTGTGTGATCATGTGTGTACGTATGTGTGTGACACTGTGTGTCCGTGTGTGTGTGACAGTGTGTGCGTGTGTGCGTGTGTGTGTGTGTGTGCGTGTGTGCGTGTGCGCGTTTGTGCGTGACTTTTGATTACATATTATACTGAGAAATATATGGCTTACAAAATCTTTAAACAGAATTTTACCTTAACAAACCTTACGAAATCTTAAAGATTTCATTATCGCCTACTAGCTGCTGTGTAAGGCAGTGTTTTAACATTTGCAAAGCAGCCATTATGGATTGTCAGATAATATTGGTTAGTTGTAGAAATTTAGTTGCCGGACGCTGTAGCCTGACTTCAACTATTATGGTGACTCAACTTTAGGAAGTAGCAGCATATTTCCTTGTGGTACCTCTTCACGGTACTCTCTTTATGTATTTTTTGTTGTGTCGAACTCGCGATTGCTGCAAACACTG